TATTCCCCAATATTCACTTCGCCTTCGGTGAAGAATTGTTAAATGTAGTTTTTCAAGTAACTCAGGGATTAAAATAACAGCTGGTCAGTCACTCATGGTCATGATGATGGTTCCAGGGGATGTACTCGGGGAGTAACATGACATTTTTTTGGGTTGGCAATTTTCGTTCCTGGTATTTTTTTTGGGTCAACAATTAATAAACATGCTACTCAATTAAGCTGTTTTTCATTTTATGCAAAATCATGCATTAGAAGGGCCTGTTGATTTCAACAAATCAGTTTTGAGGTGCATTTTTGGGGGGTTGCAATATGAAGCTCCGTCAGACCCCCCCCCCCCCCTCATTTTACTCCCCAAGTACATCCCCTGGATGATGGTTCAAATGCACCCTTCTTAAAATTGTCTCAAATGCAAAGCTAACATTTAAATACAAAAGGAATGCCACAAATTCCATCAAGAAAAAGTGTGATTTCTTTTGTATTTTCATGTTGGCTTCACATCCATGATACATTATATTTTCTGTTATGAATAATTCTATTCATTATAATACATTCCAAGCTTGAAAACAAAATGGGTAACCCCACATAAATAGAAATAATAGCATATGGTGCTAACACGTCGAACACATCGTACATCTTTCACCACTTTGAGTCCAACTGGCCAGGTCGCTGGTTCAAGCCCTGCGGTCGCCACATGTGAATTGAGTTTGTTTGATGTGTTGTTCTCTCCTATGCTACGAGGGTTTTCTCCGGGTTCTCCATTTTCCTCCCTCCGTTAAAATCAACACGTGAGTTGAGCACTGTGTGTGTGGAACATTGAATGAAGTGGTAGTGTGTGTGAGTGAAAAGTGTCCCCAATTAGTTCAAAAGTGAAAGTGCTAGGATGACTAGACGCTTGAATAAAGATATTTATTTATTTTACTCGCACGGCAAATTAAAATGCACAATTTTTAGGATACCCGTCTGAAAAAAAGAATGTTTAATGTTTAAGCAGTCCCAGTGGGAGTGGATACTGTACTTCTAGAAAAACCAAGGCTGTTACGTTAAAATCCCTATTGTATCTTCAAACTCAGTTGAGTTTTTCCCTGTTTCTAGACACACAGAAAGCTCATTCACGCTTCCCCATAAGATAGGAAAAAATTTGAACTCAACTTAGTCTTGAGGAAAATTAAAAAGGCCAGCTGAGGAATTATGTATTTTAATTGGAAATTTTTATTACAGATGGTGCACAGCCAAATAAAATACAGGAGATTGAACCAGATGTACGGCCTACACCAGAACCAAAATATAGGGTCCTAATTGAACCCCCTGAAGGTGTACCAGAGTTTGTTGTTCTGGAAATATCCCTACCTGGAGTGGTAAGCCTTCTTGTCTTTACATAGCTTGATGATGAAGAAATAGAAAACGCGTGTGCGTGCTGTCTGCAGTTATAAAGCACGCGGGGGTTGGCAGAACAAGAGAGAAGTGGAAGAAGAAGCGCAAAGCGTAGCGGAGTGCTTCTTGACACCTCTCCAATGTTCTGTCAATCCCTAAGTGCTTTATAACTGCACACAGCACAGCAAGCAAGTTTTTTTATTTCTTTTATAAAATACAAATTACATGAATGACAAAACTGAAAGTGCACGCACGTGCTGTGTGCTCTCATAAAGCATGTTTTCCCAACCAATCAGAACGCGAGATTTAGAGCAGTTATTTCATAATCCTGGTTAAAAAACCAACCACGCCCTATCTCTATTGTTTGATGGAGGGTTTGAATTTAGATGGCAAACCTGTCCCAGGTTTTGAATTCATCATTGATACTAACAAGGAAGAGCACGGCTGAATTCAAAACCTGGGACAGGTTTGCCATCTAAATTCAAACCCTCCATCAAACATTAAAAATAAGGCTTGGTTGTTTTTTTTTAAACCAGTTAAAATGCATGTGCTTGGATTTGCATTGAAATTCAAGACTGAGGGACTGCGGCAAACCCTCGCCTTAGCATTTTAAGCTTTATTTTTATTTATTTTTATTTTTATTTTTAACCCCCTCCTCCCCCTGTTATATGCCACTTCATCAGTGAAGTATTTTGACAGTCCACTCAGATTTTAGTTTTTCTGATCACGTAATTGATGGGTAGCATGGGTGACATAAGCGTACGTCACCTTTACCACTGTGGTTTCAAAGGTTTGGGTCTCTGGTTCAAGTCTTGTGGATACCATATATGAATTGATTTGTTTGTTTGAATTGTTTGATGTGTTATTCTCTCCTATGCTACGAGGGTTTTCTCCACGTTCTCCAGTTTCCTCCCTCCGTAAAAATCAACATGTGAGCTGAGCATTGTGTGCATATTGAATGTAGTGGTAGTGTGTCTGATTGAAAAAGTATCCCCAATTAGTGCTATAAAGTGCGAGACACTTAATATGTTCAGAAATTTTTTTCTTCATTTTTACATTCACATTTTGAAGCTTTTACAGCTACTATAAAGTCATGTCCATTACAGCATACAATTATGCATATTACCATTATTAAACGTTGGCCTTTTCTTGTTTTAGAAATCAGCGAAAGTTATCGATTTGGATGTAAGTGGTGACAGGCTAGTTTTACAGGTTAACACAGATCTGTATCGTCTAGATATTCAGTTACCTCATGATGTTGATAATGAAGAGTGTGGTGCACAATTTAACAAGAAAACAAAGGTATGCCAGATTCTTCTTCTTCTTCTCCTTCTCCTTCTCCTTCTCCT